TATAAATATTTTATGAAATAAGTTTCTTATTGTACATATATCTTGAAAGTTGGAAATATTTCAAGGAAACAAGAGATTTTGCAAATTTTATGAATGTGCCTACAAATATGAAATCATACAATTTACTATGCCAAGAAAAGAATGTTTACATTTTATGTTTGTTATAACAATTATAATAACAAATATTATTACTTCTATCAAATTCGTACTGTTTACAGATTTTCGTGTTTTTTTTGCATTACGTTTTGTTTATATTGTTTTATAAACATCAGAAATATCATCGTTTTTAAGAGCTGTCTAATTTTATCTACAAGTAAATGTCAATAAAACATCCAAAATCTTGCTCTCTTATAAACACAGATGTAAACACAGTAAAAAATATCGTCATTTTTTTCGGAAGCTTGATTTAATTTGTCAAAGGTTTTTCAGATGTACGCAAATTATTGTTAATATGAATCTATTACCGCCTAATCAATGAATTGTGTGAATTAAGATAAGCAACACAACTTGATCACCTTGGATACAAAACTTGTTCCCACAGTAGAAAAAGATTGAAAACAAATCACTGTCCCGTAAATAATATAAACATAGACATATTTACATTATTTAGTCAATAATTGTTCACAAAAATAGCCAGTCACATCGAACTATATAGTTTCATCTAAAAAGTAAATCAAAAACTACCTTTGACTTGTTAGTTTATTTTACCACAGTCTATAGATAAAATAATCTCATTAATTAACTATTAAAAATTTTGATTTACCCCTTACTTCATAAGCCTATAAACCTAGCCGAACTTTGCTCAATATTTATGATGACCGAATACATAGCGCATGTATAATAATAATATCTATATATACACAAATATGTATATGTAAATGCTGCTAATTCCCAGAAATGTTGTTACAAGTAAAGTTTCATTTTAATCGACGCGTACGAGCTCAACGATGTTATTTAGAAATAAAATATGTCACTGGATTCGCCCTGGCCAATCCGACCCTGCATTGAATCACCGAGGGAAGACCGAGCGGATTATTTTATGTGAGTCGTATTCGAATATCCCAATGATTTGTATTCATACTGATCGAGTAGGAGGCTGGATATGAGCGTACAAGGTCTCATGGTAGGTGCAACGCCAAAAATACATTTCGAAATCGTAACGTAGGTGAGCGCTCAAGTCGAGTCGAGACGAGTCAAATAGCCCGCGCTTGTTTTCAGTGCGGTACGTTCGGTGCACGTGCACTCGACAAACCACGAGCACGCGCGCACTCGGAAACACGCACAGGTGGTTCGGAGGAATCTCGATTGAACTCCGTCGCCCTTCGACAGGCAACCGCGAACGATCGATCACTTATTCCGAAGTACACGCGGTGCACCAATAATCGAGTTTCCATTCCTTTCCCGGCACGAACGTTTCAAAAAATGATAACGCACTTAGCCCGAGATTAGTTCATCCGCACATGGAGAACGTATTTACAGAGAAAACGTAACGCAAATAACACTATTGGTTTGAAATACCTACAACGGAAGTGAATTATCGCACTCGTATACTCGTACTCAACTGTGTCACGCTATCATAACGTTCGTAACAAATTATCCGATGTAATTATTTATAAACCCGTCGGAAAAGATAGACATTCCCAAGTAGTTAGATGTTACCGACTTACTTGAAGGTTCAAATTAGAAATCCCAGTTATAAACAGCCCCCCTGAGAACGCGAGAGACATCGAATCGATGTCTTGTCCGTAAAGAAACTACGCGAAAGATTCGTCGCGTCGCTGGAAACGAGAAACCCGGTGGTAGGAGAGTTAGATGGGCGGAATCATGCAACTTGCATTAGGTTTTATGACTGCCAAGGCCATATGCTTTCCATAAAAACGGCGGTATAAACGTCTCAACACAGCGGCTCAATTATTAGAGAGGAACAAGCATCCAGTGATCGTCGGAACGACAGAGTTATCGTCTCGTTATGTGAACACAGCCGACTCAGGTTCTTTTAAGTGCTCGTGACCTATTAATCAGTTTCCCTTTTTTCCCCTAGTTTGGAATAGAGTGGAACTCGGAATATAATAATAACGCGTTAGCTATTGTCTCATTACGATTTTGCACAAATCTAAATGAAAGAAAGTATTTAGTAAACATTTTAATCTGATTTCTTGCGGGAAGGTATTAATTTTACGATGGTCAACGATCAATCTGGTTTTGAATAAGATGTCCGTGATGGAAAAAACAATCAAACCATCAATTATTCACCCCTATGTTATTTGTGATTGCACGTATCGCAATATCGTTATTAATAGTAAATATACACACACACAGTGATGCATAAAGATTATGAGTTATGCTTTGTCTAACTAATATACCCGGAAATTCGTAATACTATTAACGAAATAGTCATCGTCCTGCCAGTTCACCTCAGTAGTAAACAGTGTAAGCAAAATATTTTACATTGTTTATATTTAAAGAAATATTTTCGTTGAATATTATTTTGGGTACTATAGCGTTAAAAAAACGCTAAAGTTATGTCACTGAATATCACGTGCTCGTCAATACCATTCCTGGAATGATCAGAATGCGTCAATAATCACAATTCAGTGAACTCTGATGATTGAATAGTTTGCGACGATGAATAATGCACACGCGTAACGTATATAAATCGCTGTATATAATACAAACTTTAAAATAAGGTTATTAAATTTTACAATGCACTCGATATTATGAAAAAGTTCGAATGATAACACATAGTATCAGTATTTCATATTTAGGAAAGAGAAAGCAGCCTCGAATTTCAAATTGTTCCAACCATGCAACAACAATGCTGCTCTTCTATTTAAAACATACAATTACTGTATCTACTTTAAAGTTCCGTGGAGAGGACACAAATAGACTGAACTGCGTATTCGAAACAAAATCGTGTCATGCAATTACAACATAAATATGGAACGACTGGATCGTGATCGGCCATCCTTGTGGCACGGTTGTTTACAATCTGGTTGTAAGGAGCTTAACGGCATCTCGCCAACGGAAGAATATTATAGTAAGGAAAAACGAGAAGTATAGGAGCAACAGTATCGATACCTCTAGATCAAATATCCACCATACCTTGTTAAAGCACTGGGCAATTCGACCTTGACAGGCAATCTTAACTTGTGCATTTTATTTTGCTACATACACGCACTACTGTATCTTTTTAGTCTCTCACTACTCGGTACGTGCTAGAGAAGCGTGCGATTTACGGCAAACGATTGTAACAGAAACATAACCAATAAATGTAGAGGGCCCGATTCGGCGACCCATTCGGAACAATGCGTTCCACGAGTGTGCAACAGGAAGGCAAAAAAAAACACATTTAACAAACAACACATAAACTAACCAATACTTCAAAGGGGGAAGAGTTCTAGTGAATGACTTTTACATGGACACTTGGATGGCTAACGACTTCTTTATGGCTCGCAATCTTTCAGGGATGCAGGCTAGAGTTACGACGCAACTCATATCCGCGTGTTCACACTATCGTTTTCGATTCCGACGAATGTTCAATGTTCGTTCATCGCACTTGCTATCTGCACTTACAACGCGTATTCCACGAACAATTCACTGTGTACCGTATACCGAAAGTTGACAGTTTAGTTGACAACAAAAATAAAAAAAGAAGAAAGAAGATGGCGTCAGCCGGACAGCCGTGAACGGGAAGATCGAAAGGTACAGGTCGAGAAACTCGAAGTGTTCTGAATCATCGTCGCGTTTTCTTCTCGCACAGTCCATCCGATTCTTTTGAAGCCTCACGCGCATAGTGGCGATCGTTGAAGTTAAACAGAATTCATTACCAACGGTTGTTACAGAGCAACCTTATCGACATCTCCATTTCTGGCGGTAAATTCAATTTAATGTTCCGTTAAAATTCATCGAAGAACACGATTTCTTAATGGAATCAACTATTATTACACTATAGAAACTATTAACGACGGTAGGAAGCATAGTATTTAATAATAAATGTGTCGAACAATTTTTAAGCTTGTGATTTACAAATTGGAACTTGAATAATAAAGGAATCATTCAATCAGTTAAACGAGTCTCCTCGAATTGTGCGATAAACTATTGAAATACGAATATGACACGATTACGTTTACCTGATCCAGCTTCGTCGGATATGATTAACGTCTACATAAAATATTGACAAGCAGGCTTAACATTAACAGACAAGTGCTGAAAGCATAAGCAGCTTGGTGAGAATGTTACTAGCTTACCTAAAGTACGCTAGCCTCCAACAGTAATCCGTTTTGATTACGAGCAGCTGTAAGTTCATCATATACGCGAACGTAGCTCAAAGACATGTAAGATCGTCGGATACGTCGGCTGGTGCTCACTTCCACACCAATCAAACGAATTTCTTCGCCTTCGATGTTTTTTTGCGTATATTTCCAATATTCGGGGCGCGACTCGTGGACGACCTAATTCACGGTTATCGATCAATCGAAAGTAAAGCGTGCTCGTGCACTTAAAAGTGGTCGCACGAATAACAACGGTATCTCAACACACAATGAAAACATTCGTGGATACCTTTTGTTTCTTGTTTTTTCTCTAGCAATTTCCCTCCCTCTCGAAGACCTTCAAAGCCACACGATATTCGAAATATTAATCACGATACATCCACCGTGCACCAGGATATATCGCGACGAATTCAGTCACGTATTAATGCGACGTTCCCTTGTCAAATATCTTCACGGTCTCATGATCGCTTTACTTTCCGCTCCGCCAGCAAGTGCCACGGTCACATCTCGTCTCGTCACAGTGGAACTCGAGTTGTGACCGAAAAGGCACCGGAGCCTCCACAGAGTCTCCGCTGGAAAGCTCACAAGCGCCGCACAGGGGTCGTTCCGAAAAGCGCAAGCGCTTCTTCATAGATCGCGCTTTTCTCATGGACGAACCTGGTGGACTGATGGTAACCAATGACGTCATTGCGGAAGGGAAATTCATTCACGAATGTTCGACGCCGTCGCGTTCCTAAGGCCAAGGACCTTCCCTTGGAAACTACAGATGTTCGTAAATTTTCAGACTTATTATCAGTCTACGCTTTTTACATTTTGCCAATTTGCTGTATAAATATTAAGCAGTTAAAATATTGTAAACAAACACGATCTACATATACTGCTCTCCGATGAAAATTATCAAAAAGGTAAATGCCCGATTAATGAGAATTTTAGTAATTTATTTACGTATAATAGAAATTTTAAATAATGCTTGGTAAATTTAAAAACGCGTGTAATTCCTTATTCTATGATGTTTTTTTTCATACAGAACAATGTTTCCTCAAGGTATTTAATCTAAGAGGGAATTTCTTCTCTTGGGTAATAATTTGTGCATTCTGCATTTTTTATAGAAAAAAAAACAAAAACAAATGGAATTACTTTACTTTTTAATAATAGGTTTTACCTCACATCGATCATTCCTTTGTTAGCTGCTTTTTAAATGAATTTATCTTGCGTCTCTAAGTA